GAGTTAAAAACTAACAGCCAATGAAGTCTTCCACCCATAGTGGTTGTTTTAGAGGAAATCAAAGAATTGGATTGGGATTTGTGGGTTGAATGTTCTTTGCATATGATACAATAATATTTACAATGCGTAACTTGAAAACATTGAGTGTGACAAATCTCCTGATCATTCTTAGTTGTCTTGTTCTTGCTTATTTTTTACTTCATTGTGATTGTGAATTTGGTGGTGGATAAACTCTTGCATGTAAAATATACAAAAATAAGAGTTAAAAGTGTTGAATTTGAGTTACGTAGATTGTAGTATATAGCACGTTTACTCTTGAATTATGTATTGTCAAATTGAATTGTGTGCCTTTTTAATTATATGATAAAAAATAATAAGCATCTTTGTTAACTCAATTAAAAATAATTAAATAATAATCTCTCTTTAAAATAAGTAAGAGATTTTAAATTTGAATTATATAACATATGGATGGGTGAGTTAAGAGATCAGAAATAGTTGTCTTTTATTACACAATTCATGATTAAAAAAAATAAATAAATGATAATTTCAATGGAAAAACTATTTGCCATTTCCTTTCTAAATACACATTCTTTCACACTTGACCTTGTGGGCCAATTGGCTAGTAACTGACTTTGAGGATGCACTTTTACCAGTTTGATACTGATTTCAATCCTTTATCCCCTAAAATTTGTACTTTTAAAAAAAAAAAAAAACATATTCTATCATAACCAAACAAATGAAACCCAACAGAGTAACCTCTACACCATTCAAGTCAACCCTCTTATCATCATAATTTGTTGGCCATACCTAACTCTTATTAATAACACAAAATTTATAATATTAATTAAAAAGGAAGTAATCATCTTTACTGTTCATGACAATCCACCTTAGCTTCCATGGTATATAAATAATTAAACACATATATGCTTCTTGTGGGATTAATCAAATGCAAAGAGCAATGCAGTTCAGTATCAAGCTGACTCAGATCACATGAATTCAAAACTAATACTTATTTTTAATTTAAGTAAAAAAAGAAAGGTTATATTTTATAGTCAAGATTGTATCAAATTGCTAAATATAAACAATTAAATGTGAGAGCAAGTCATCAATATTAAAGGATTTATCTCCATCTAATAATTAAGTTATGCAATAAAAAAATAAATCAAATTGCATGATGCTTTTTTTTTAATAAAAAATTCATTAGTTTACTAATTAACATCAAACATTTTATTTTTCTTTCTATATTTTGATGGGCTGAATTTAAATCGGGCGGTTTGAAATTTAAACCCAACATGAAATTGGATGGATCCGGCTGTCTCGGACTCCTAGCAACAAACTTGCCAAGTGGAAGGAAGATTAGGATCATTAAGATGCTAAATTAGCAATTAATATGTTAACCCAAAATTTCAACGGTTTAAATTAGTGCAACGTGGCAACATAAAATTTTTATACAAAATAAAATTCCATAAAAATCTCATATATCCCAAAACTATTTTCTTTTCCAAAATTTTGATCATTTTATTTCTCCACTTCTAACCATCGCAGAAAACTCTAATTTTACCGTTCTCACCTCCTGTGTTTTTACCCTTTTTTTTCATTTAGTTTAGTTAAGATTCCAAATAGATCATGTTATTGGACAAAACTACCACGGATTCATAATTTACATAAGCGTCTTGATGGATTCACTTGGAATAGCTCGATCGGGTGGTGGCTGAGATGGATTCACTAATGGCAGTTAAATTTATAAATGAGAACAGAGAGTTAGATAATTTATCTGCAGCAATCTTGATGGGTATTAGGAACCTGATGTCTGAATTTGAAGAATGCACACTGTAGTGGCAGTAGTCCGAGGTCACGTTTCTCATTCCAGCCTGAGGTCAAGTACCTCGGGCAACCCGATCTACTTTCAATCTAGTCACCTTGACGGTAGAGAACAACGAGCTTAGTCGAGCTCGAGTTCATCCCCCTTGCTCCTACTGTACAGTGACTCCGTACACACAAGGATCCTGTAAAGGAACCTTCTGGGATCATCGACACATATAATCCTTATTTCTCGTGAAGAATAACATGTGGATGTCCCTTTTGAAGGTTATAAATACCCTCCAAGGGTCCTCTTCAAAAGGTAATTGAAATCGAACTCAAGTTTAGCTCTTGATTCACACCTGATAGCTTTGATTATTGTTGACTTAGACATCGAAGTGTTTACTCCAAAAACTCACCTCGGAGCTTTGCATGTCTACCGAAGTAAGCGGTCGAATTCAGAAGCACTTTGGAGTTCTCTTGCAACAACACATACTGCAGCATACTCTTCGAGAAGGGAACGCTGCTGCCGACTTCCTAGCGTCTCTTGGACACTCTTCACAATCGCAACAAGCAACGCCCAATTTATATCACCAAACCCGTGAACAATTCCATAGTCACCACAAAACTTTTCAATTGATCTCCACAACATACTATCACAATCAGAATCAATGGATCAATAAAATCAAGATTTGATTTTAGAAAAAAAGCCGATTAAAACAAGTTCAAATTAAGGCAAATTTGTTTGACTTTTACAAATTAATCAAACCAAGACTTTAAACATCAATTTAGACACATAAAAGATATTATAAGAGCATGTTTTATAGATTTTAAGGCTTTGATTATCCACTAATACAAACTCATTTCAATTTCAATTTTAAAAAGAAACGAACAATATCAGAATCAATAATTTTTTTAATTAACTCATTGAATACATATTATAAAATAAAAAATTGAATCTTAATTACATACACGCTTAACAATTTTGATATCATATATAGGTTACAATCTAAGAATCGACATTGTAAAATTTAGAATACTAAAATATAATTGAAGAGTCATCAGCAACAAAGACTTTCAAACCAAGCTGTCCTTTCGCACGAGAGAACATGGTTCGTTTCTCCAGAGGGTAGTACAAAACAACTGCATCAAAGTACGGGACAAATGATGTCCCAGTGAGGCGAACCTTCCCAAGGCATGTTTTGGAGTTGTTATCTTTGTTATGGTTGTAGACATAGGCTTCAAGATTGAGGTTGGATAGGTTGTCTGAATCTGATATGTTGAAGTAGAAACTTTCATTCCAAACAGGATTAAGGTCTTTGACTTTGGTAGTGGTGCGGGATATCTGACCATCAAAATGGACTTCCACAAAGGGACTGGATGAGCCCTGCCCATCTTTGGGTAGAAGGTCATGGGCACTAACCACCTCTACCCCAAGTTTGAGATTACTCATGAGTGTTTGTGCTGGTCTGATGAAATTCAGAGAAGGGAAATGTCACGTACAATAATATTTGATACAGGGAATCTGTAGACGGAAAGAACAAATAGTCAGTTAAACAACAATGAACAACTGCATCAAGGTGGAAAGACCAACAGAGAAAAACAAATGGGGAGCACTTAGCATATATAAAATTCTGATAGAGCATGGAGCATGTTCCTTAATTTAATCAAATTTGTCAACAAACAAACAGAATATAAAGGTAAATTCAAAGTGCTAAATCGTAAACACTAGGATGCATTTAGAAAAGCTTTTACTAAAAAAAGTGATTGAAAAAGTTCTATACAAAAAAAAATTGTTTAGTTTTGTATTGAAATTTTATTGAAATTTTGTTGAGAAGTTAATTTTGTTATGTTGGTAAGAAATTGATATAAAAAAAAGTATAAAGAAAGTTATTAGATGGGTTTTTTATAGAAAAAATTGTGTGAAATTTTTTTCTTTATAAAAAAGTAAGAAGAAAAATCCCACTTTTGTTTTTTATATATTATAATTTTGAGATATATAAATACCCAAATACCTTTATAAAATTATTGAGAAATACATTTTCAAAGAAAGTAAATCGAACACACCCTTAAAGAAATACCCATCACACCCAAAGATAATATAGGATTCATAAAATGCAGATAAAAGAGGGAGAAAAATTCTACAAAACTTTTATCAAATTAAGAAGAGGGAGTTCTTACCCACAAAAGTGTATTTTATAAGTTAAACTGCACTCATGCATATTAAAATTGCAATTTAATTTAGAAATTTATTAAAATATTATTAATAAAATAATATAAAAAATATTTTTATTAAAAATATTTTTATAAATTCATAAATCAAATTACAATTTTAATGTGCAATTTAAATTGTGAGAAATAAATAACTTCTAACAAAAAAGTAAAAACTTTTAGATTAGCAGCAATTTTTTGAGTCACCAATATAAAAAATGGACAAAAGTATTTTAAAAAATAAAGTTCTTCTAACTTGTACTTTTAATATATAAATTAAAAATATAATAAATATATTTTTTATTATAAATTTTTATTAAAAAACAAATATTAATATTAAATTTATCAATCACTTTATTAAATTCATCTACATAACAACAACGTTGAAATTTATTATATAAACTTTAATATCTTTATATATAAATTAATGACAAAAAGCTTGCTGCTGATTAACCTCTACCTAGGAAAACCAAAAGCCAAAAAGGAAGAACAAAAGGAGGACAATCAGAATCATCCATTTTCTCCATTACCAAAAAGAAGACAACAACATATTGAATCCTCCAATACCATTTCACTTTCCAGTAAAACAAACAGGGTATAAAATGGTCCGCTTTCTACATATTCCTCAAGTTTCTTACAAACAAAGAATCCACCCTCCCCCAAAAAAAAAAGAAAAAAAAAATCTGTGTCCAGGAAACTGGAAAAGTTCCCCGGAGTGACAAATTCTCTATAGTAACACAAACAGATTACCAGATGAAGATTGAATTTTCTTTCCCCTTTTTGCATCAAACAGCACCATAGCCATACATCATTAATAATCATACCCAGAAAAAAAACTGCTGAAAACAAGATTAAACTCTAAAAAGAATAGGAAATAGAAAATGAAGAAGGGAAAACTGACCTCTGATAGCTTAAGCAAGAAAATGAATGAACATAAGCTGATGAGCTCCAAGTTTTGATCTTTATAATGACATCTTCAGAGACTTAACAAAGAAGACAACCCCAGAAGTTACAAACACAATTTCTACGAAAATTCGAAGGAGTTGTCGAAAACGAGTCAAATGATCGTAATCCGACGGGGGAAGAGAACGGCGGTTTTTTGTTTTGTCTTTTGCTTTTGCAGACGGCGAGACCAAGCCGACTTCATTTGAAGGTTTTTTTAAAAGTGTGTTTTTTAATGTATAGTTAACTAGTTAAATATTTTTTAGCCTAGCACCATCATCTTATTTTTATTAAAAAATTATTATTGTTATATATAGTAATTTAGATTATATTAAATTATAAAAGTTTTTTTAATTTGTGTTTTTAATGTATAGTTAATTAGTTATATATTTTTCTATATTAATTAGTATTAAAAATAACAAAAGTTAGACATTAATTTCATCACTAATATCATGTAGATCATTTTAATCAGATAATTAATTAAATAAATATAAAATTTTATTTTTCAATAACAATTAATATAAAAAAAGTGTCATTAACCTATGCTATTAGAGCATGTATTACAAAATATTAATGGGTGTTTGTTTTTGCATTTTGTAACAATTATTAGCTATTAATTTTATATATTTTTAATTAAAAATAACAACAATTATTAACTGTAAAATATCAACTACTAACTATTAGTATATCTAAACAATTAATCCAAACACCCCTTTAATTTTTTTTTTGCCAAAATAAGATTAATAACTAACATTTTTATTAATAACAAAATGGGAAATGATTGGTATACCATCTAGCTCAATACCCCAGTTCAATGCCTTTTGATTTAGTCATTAAAAATATAATATAAATACAGTCAATTCAACATGTTCTTATATCATGTGTGCATGATTGTATTATTATATTTATCTGTTTTTAATTTCAAACTAAAAAATAATGGTTTTTTAATGATTAAACTGAAAAATGTTAAACTAAATATTAAATCAAAGGGTGTACTAATCACTATTTTAACAAAATACTAGGTATTAGATAAAGTCATGAAGAGTCTTTTCTCAATATTAAGGAATTCCTCATAGTTTGGTGTTTTGTAGTTGGAGGGCATCTAGATTATAAAGTATTTTTTTTATCTGTAATATCTAAAATATCAATAAGAATTATTTAAATTTATCAACATATATAATGCGTACATACACCTTTATTATGCGTATATACAAATGTTGCGTGACGTAAAACGAGTGGCTGCATGAGAAACCATGCAATTGAAGGTGCAAAAATGGTCAACTATAATCATCATTACTATATTTAGCCCCCAAAAAAATTATCATTACTGTATATAAAATGTAAGAGTCTTAAGATCCCTTTTTTAAGATAAGTTTGTAGTTACATAATTTCTTTTTTCTTTACCAAATAGGAGTTAAAAACTAACAGCCAATGCAATCTTCTACCCTTAGTGGTTGTTTTAGAAGAAATCAAAAAATTGGATTGGGATTCGATCGTGGGTTGAATATTCTTTGCAAATATTATGATAATATTAACGAGATACATAACTTGCAAACATTGAGCGTACGTGACAAATCTCCTCATTCTTGGTTGCCTTGTTCTTGCTTGTTCTTTACTTCATTGTGAATTTGCGGGGAAAAGCCCTAGCATATAAAATATACGAAAAAAAAAAAAAAAAGAGAGTCAAAAGGGTTGAATTTGAGTTATGTAGATTGTAGCATGTAGCACGTTAATTAATTCTTGAATTATGTATTGTCAAATTGAGCTTATATTCTTTTAATTGTATACGATAAATAATGATTTTTATTATCTCAACTAAATGACAATTTCAATGGATAAACAATGTACTATTTGCCTTCTAAATACACATATTCTTTCATAACCAAACAAGTGAAACCCAATAGAGTAAGCTTTACACCATTCACGTCAACTCTCATATCATCATAATGTGTTGGCCATACCTAACTCTTATCGGTAGAACACAATTTATAAATATTAATTGAAAAAACAGAGTAATCATCCTTACCATTCGAGAGAATCCACCTTCTCTTCCATAATATATGGTATATAAATAATTAAATCAAATAAATATATGCTTTTTGTGGCATTAATTAAATGCTAAGAGCAAGTATCAAGCTAACTCAGATCACATGAATTCAAAACTATCACTTCTTCTTAATTTTTTTTTTTTTTGATAGGAAATAGAGATTTATATTAAAAAAGAGGTTACGGTTGAATCTCCAAATCAGGGCCTGTAGCATAAAAACCGAAGCATAACCTATAACACTAGTAACAGACTTAAACTATACCCATGACGGATTTAGACAATTAAAGAAAGAGAGCCATCTGTAATTAGAGATTGCATATGCAATTGTTGTATGG